AGAGAGAAAAAAAATAAATACAAAAATATTAAAAACTTGATATTATTATTATTATTATTATTGTTATTATTATTATTATTATTATTATTATTTTAGGTTGATGAGAACGGTACAATCCTTGTTATCAATGAGAGAACCAGACCTATCTAGAGTATCACCATACGATGACAGTGGAATATCACCATCACCGACAAGTAATCATTATCATCATCATCATCATCATCACCATCATCGTCACGATAGTTCTTCAATGTCACAAGGAGATAATTTCATGAACAACACGTCGTCAATAGTAGTACAAGATGACAATTATGTTAGATGCATCGATGAAAGTGAACGTGAACTTGTCAATGAAACTAATTGTTTGGAATATCAAAATCGAGATGACAATTGTCAAACGAAATTATTATCATCTAGTAATACTGATGTTAATCGTAATATACAAAATTTATTGCCAGGTATTAGAAATTCGGTAGATGGATCTTCGTATAATTCTGTTGTTAGCAGTAATAAAACAACAACGGAAGATGAAGAACAAATAATAATTGTTTCTAATCGTGATAATATTATTGATAATAATACGCGTGAACGTATTTGTAATATTGGTAACAACAATACGTCGACACCATTAACGAAATCTCACAAACGTATTGAGAAAAAAGGAATCAATGGTGGTGGTATTAACGATCTCATGGTTAGGGCTGTTAGAGCTAAATTAGCAAACAGCGTTAGTAGTGCTGACGATGAAAGTGGATTTTCATCTATGAGCTCATTTCAAGAAGTTGGTTTACCAACTTCACCGATATCACCTATCAAAGGTTGTCACACTGAAGTTGGTTTACCTGAAATTCCTATTGAAAAAGTTGCTCATAGAAGATGGTCATCGAACCCAACCGAAATACAAGCACTCATTAAACGACACAGTGCAGCTAATTTTCCGACAAATCAAACCAATAACGAATCATTAAGCGTTTGGGTTTAAATTAAACGTTTTTTTAAAAAAAAAAACGGATAACTTCGTTATAGGATTAATTCTTTATTTTTAAGTGTACACAATTTGTTTTTTTTTTTCTTTTAGTTATGATGTTATTATTAAATCTCGTCTTGCTATAGAGAAAGAGAGAGATAGAGAGACTATTTTCTTTGATATAAAAGTGATTTTAGATTTATATTTATATATATTTATATAAGATTTATTATCATTAAGTGTAACATTTGTCTTATAATTATGTCCTATTAGATTGTCTTCATTGAAAAAAAAAAGAAAAAGGAGAAAGAATTAGA